CCACAGTAATTCAGTGATATGTTGTTTGCCAGAGAATCCTGCCTCATTTATCACCTCTACTACTACCACCACTACTACTACTACTACTACTACTACTACTACTACTCCTATCACTACTACTACTACTACTACTACTACTACTACTACTACTACTACTACTACTACTACTACTACTACTACTACTACCACCACCAGAGAGATCCGAGCCCAGAGTAATATGCTGTTGTTTGCCCGAGAATCCTGCCTCATGTCACCTCATCTACCATCACTACTACTACTCCTATCCTACTACTACTACTACTACGAATACTACTCCTATCACTACTACTACTACTACTACCACCAGAGAGATCTGAGCCCAGAGTAATTCAGTGATATAAATGCTGTTGTTTGCCAGAGAATCCTGTCTCATTTATCACCTCTACTACTACCACTACTACGGCTCCTATCACTACTACCACATCTACCACTCTTACTATCACTACTACTGCTACTACTGCTACTACTACTCCTCCACAGGTCAAAGAAATATAGCTACGGCTTCTACAACCACACAGCAACAATACCTAGGCTCTTTAGCTCTTCCCTTGTAGGAGAACAATAGATTTGTCTCCAGATAATACAGGCAGCAAACAAAAGTGGGGAGGAAGGAAATATTTATGAATAATTTGTACAGTACTAATTGTTCCCACATAGCGCATTTCTAATAAGGTAAAATATGGTTAACTTGTACTGCTGAGTAACAGAATAGCAGGCCAAATACGTGATAATGACTGTGTTTGGATCGATGCTGCATAAATGTTGCTAGCGTACTGCAGAAACCACTTTTACAGATGAATTTGATTAAGTCTGAATAAACTTGCACTCAAATTTGAGAGTTGTACTGTTCCCACATTGTGTCATGTTGTTCTTTGAAACATTTTGATCATTTGAATAATTTGAACATTGTATTAAATTTTTCTCGTCACATTTTTTTATTTTTTATTTTTTTTACTTCTTTCTAAATATATTTTCTTACTCAAATCAACAAATCATTGCCAGTAAAAGTAAAAAGTCTGCAATGTTTTTGTTTCAATATGCAATTTAACTAGTTGCGATAAAAAGGGCATCTGACATAAAAATCTACCTAACAATACGGCGAAATTTTTCATAAAAGGGAACAGCCAAATAGAATATACCTCAATGAGCAAAGACATATGAGGTGAGACCAGTGTAGTGTCTTGCCCAAGGGTACAAAGGCAGTCTACATTGCCATTAGTGGGACTCCAACCACTGACAGAGAACCTTTTTAACATGTAATTAACTGACTGATTTGTTTCCGTAGCATTCTAAAGAGTCCAAAAATAACAAAAACCTGACCTACTTTTAACTGCAACACTGTTTTTTTATCTTTTCATTTCTTTTCAAATACTTTATTCCCCTGTTAATTTGTGAATGTTTAATCTAAAATGGACTAAAAATCTATCTGACCTAATTAAGTACATTATCTTGTACTTTCATCTTTGTATTTTTTTGATTGTAAGTTGCTATTCCGGTGTTAATGAATATACTTTCATCTAAAAAGGACTATAATCATCTGCATTTGATCTCTAGTTTACAGTAACGTTGACAGTATTCCCCAAGGTTGGTTGCTACCCATACAAAAAAAATATATAAAAAAGTTGACCTAATTTAAATGTGTTACCTTTATTGCCTTTTATTAAGTCAATACATTTTAAATAGCTTTGCTTGATTGGAAGAAATAAAACAATTACAATGAAAAACGCAACATAATATATTCAAACAGGGTCAAAACTCCATATTTTAAGTGCACCGCCAGGTCAAAATCTGGGTCTGGCCCTTTTACTCTTAGCCCCTTCATTCACACAATATGTAAGAAAATAAAAGGGGAAGTCTCACAGGACCCAATGACCATGAGAAGGACAAAAAAGGAAAAAAAAAAGGAAGAAATATCTCTCCGGGGATTCTGACATCCGCGCTGCTCAGTGGTATATTTTTCAACTGCGCTATTGCCTTTTCATTAGGCAGGCATTTAGTGTTCATTACAGAGCCATTACATCCCCTTTAAGACTGGCCTTTCGCTGGCCTCCTCGCTAATGGACTCGGCACCGGCAAAAGCTTAAGTAGCCGCTTTTCCATTGGCCGCGTTTGATCCGCACATGCAGCCTACACATGCACGCACACACTCGCAGCTGCCCACTCCCCTTTAAGGAAGAAAAACCCATACACACACACACTTACACACAAAGGCTAACATAAAACTTGTCAAATAAAGTATATATTATGGATTTACGGTGACTGGTTGTAAAAGCATGACAAAATTGAATATAAGACTTAGAATGACATGGAATTTAAACATGTGATTTGTGTAGTTCAAACTGGTTGAACTTTATTCATTATAGACCAAAAATAACGTAACTGGTTTCATACACACTGCAGTATTTATAAATGTAAATAAATAAATGCATACACACTTTTTGCAGATATCTTAAAAAAATAAAAAATAAATGAAAATAAATAAAATAAATAAAATAATAATAAATACATACAAAATGTTGTTGTTGTTTTTTTTTTTAAAGATATACTGTCAGTGTTGGTCAATTTTATTTTATGTTATTTGTATACATTATTATGACATATTATGATGTATTATGATGATATATTATGATGATATATTATTATTATTATTATTATTATTATTGGTTCTTATCTTATTGCCATTTAATTTACATTTCTTTTACTACTGCAGATGTCTTAATAATACTATTACTACTACTACTACTACTACTACTTTACTACTACTACTACTACTACTAATAATATAATAATAATAATCATAATCATAATCAAAATAATAATAATAATTCTACTGTTTTATGGTAAAACTCATATTGTGAATCTGAAATTAAGTCTTACCCGATTGATTTCACTTTTACAGTGTTCTTTCCACAGCTGAAACTAAGCACCTCTGGCTCAATCTTGCAATCATTAGACACTTGGTTTGCTTTTTTCCCCCACACAAAGATAACACACCAATTACTGCATTCCTCCATGATGAGTGGCTGCAGCCCTGGCCAAAGGAAACATGCTATTAGGCTTATAGGCAGTTAGAAGCAGGAGCAGGGTGGAGCTGGTTGTGCTTTGTGTGTCTCTCCAGGCCACAGTTCCTCAGCTGTGGTCCTGTGTTGTTCTAAGAGACATGGGGCGGACTCCATCTTTGTCCAGAATGGAGTGTGTGAACATTTAGCAGTTACTTTGAGTTGTTTAGTCGATTAATTGGTGCACTGAGAAAATAAGGATGCATACAAAACAGCAGAAAGGTGAAGTTAGTGAGTGAGTTAGCTGAAGATTTGGTATTTTTTGGTATGTATGAACTCCCATGCAGCTGTAGTCCTGTGAGTGCAATTAGGGTCAGATACAAAGAGATACGTAATCGTTTTTAGAGCTCTTTTCAGTTGACTAATAGGTCACTGACAACTAAACATGTGTTAATCTCAATCTCTATTATAGTTTGATTAATTGCTAAATTGTGTTCCTGACTACGTCCAACAGCTTAGAGCTATTTTCAACATGAATGCACACAATATTAGTTTTAAGTATCAAATGCAGATTAAAGTCAGTACCCACGAAGATGGAGATTGTTTAAAAGATAAGCAAGTATCAAACTTCAAACTCAATATACATTATACTCATAGAAAAAATGTCTGATTACTTTGGCCTCATTTTAACTCACTATGTGATCATGTTGTTAAATAAATGTATTTTGTTCTGATTCAATTTAAAAGTCCACTCTTGATACTGTGAACAGAGAAGCTGCTGACTAATGCTGGCTATCTTGTGACTATAATTTTATGTAAGAAGGAATTATAGCACAAAATCAGCTCTTTATGATCAGATTGTGTTAAAACAAAAGCTCAAACTAAAGTCCAATTTGAGTTACACAGCTTCAAACAGAGCATTGCCTCTAGTTAGCTTCACGCACGAGGGAATGGTGATGATCAGCTGCAAAGTATCAATTCATAGCTTTTCTGGTGAAGGGTCTGTCTGTAACTTGGAATGTTCCACTGTATTTACTACTCTATCTCCACAGAGACAAGTTACAGGTGAAATCTTTAGAATGTATGTCTTCAAGTTATTTTTAGGCAACAAAATCACCAGCAATCAATGACATAAATGAAAAAAAAAGAAAAAGAACTAACATACATGAACATTCACACAGACAGTGGCTGACTCTTTTCTGCTTCACTCGAGAAAAAACTAAAACACAACACTAAAAAAAAATAAAAATCTACATGAAGACATGTAAGTAGTAAACCCTCTATCAACAAAATTATATATTGCACCTTTATATCTACAATTCAAGATTAGCATTGCTTAATTCAATCCTTTGTTTCCGTGTAAAACCAACATTGTTTTATTTGTCCATATAACAAATGCAAACTTAGCTTTCTCTCCCTCACACTCTGTCACCTCCACAAAACCATTCATTTAGATGGGACCACATTTCAAACTGGACATTGTTTTTTTACGGTCGTTCCCAAGAACTTCAGGCAGTGTATCTAAAGCGCACTACCTTTAAACTCACCAAGGTCACCAAGTGAAATCCAAAATGTTTGCTCTTATATTTGATATTTTTGGAGTATAGCTTAGTGTGGTTGTGATTATGGTCCGTGGGGTGCACTGTAGCACCTATAAAGGTTGGTAGTTCAAATCCTCGTCTAGACAGTTTAAATTCTTTGTGTGTCCATAGTCTGCTGCAGTTACTTCAACTACCTTGGTTGTGTGAATGTAAGAGCATAATTGTGGGATTGATTGAATTGAATGGGCAACCTGATTGCACAATGCGCCAAAAAAAAAAAAGCAATAAAACAGCATTGAGTACACAATTGCAGTCTTTAGCTGGGTATAAATGTTCTTTCTACTTCAAAATTACCACCATCATAACAGTTAAGCAGCAGTACAATGCAATCTAAAGTCTAAACCGATATGATTCTCCATACCTGTGTTTCTGGGATGATAGGGCCATCTTCAGATGAGCTTCTATAAAACGTAGACAAAGGTGATGCAACAATGACTGGGTTTGGTCGGATGAAGCCGCTCAGGTCACAGCTAGGGATGTCATTCTCCTCCTAGAATAATAAAATGAATGAAATGTTAAAAAAAAGTATTATTTATTGTACAAATTTTAAGGCTAAAGTAACACTCAGTTGTAACAAATGGTCTGTGCTAGCAAATAGTTTGAGTATAATAACTATGTAAATGGTAAAAAGCGGTGGTCCAAGTACTGATACTTGAGGTACACCTTATTAAATAGGAGCTGGGGCTCATCAGATTCCATCAAATGAAAACAAGAGAGAAACTGAATCATAATCTGGACTTTGATATTGGTTGATATTTGGCAACATTTTCTGTGTGTGTTCTTATCCTGCAACTTCAACCATTTTGAGTTAATAGAATGAAGTATAAACTGTCATCATGGAAATTATAACAAGTAAGGGTTTCTGATTCAGTTTCAAATGGTTAGTACTGATAACAAAATGCCTTGGGGTAAACTGGCAAGGATGGGGCAGTCATGCTGTGCTCATGTTCTCTCCACCACCAATCTCACTCATATTGATAGCTAGGCATGAGACGTGAACTATCTTCATGTTGCAAGTATTAGAAACAGTTCAAGAATAGTACTTACTTTCTTCATGACCAGAGTGTCCATCACATAGAACACATTCCATGGCACCCACACCGTCCTGTACTGCGTGAGGAACGGAGCGCGCTCAAAACTCAGGGTCAACGAAGCTCCCCCATTGGCCAAGAGATCGAACCTAAACAAAAGCGATGAAAAAATACTGTCAATCTCTGTGTTGAAAGTGTTGAAAAGAAAAGTACAAAAAAGCAGAAAGTAGTGGTGAGTACAAAAACAGCAAAACCTCTACCTATTCATGACAGATTAAAGATCGATTTAACAAAAAAGAGGTGTCGTCTACTTTAGTCATTCTAATCTGAACTATTTTGTAATTTATTGTCCAACCAGGAAGTAAATTTAAAAACTAAACAAGCAAACAAACAATAACACCAATCCCCCCAACACAACCTCCACTTTGCCTTTTGACAATATATTTTTTTTTTCACAGTCAGATTAAGGTTGGGGTTAGGATTAGGGTTAGGTTCAAAATCAAAATATGGAAGTTTTGATATTGGTTCATAATTGAAGACATTGTATGTTTGTGCTTTTGTCCTGCATCTCCATCCATTTTGAGTGAATAGAATGAAGAAGTAGCAGTATAAGCTGTTGTTGTGAAAATTAAGGTGAGTAAGGGTTAATAATTTTTCCACCATCAGGTTAAGGTTAGGACCGAGATTGCGGTTAGGTTTAGGAACAGTTAATTTGGTTAAGGTTAAAGCATAAAGACAGGTTAGCTTGAGGTCTTGACAAAACTGCATTGGAGAAATGGAAAAATTATTCAGAAAAAAGCCAAACAAAATCGTAATTATAATTATGTTAACTCTATTTTAATGAAATGAGTTGTATAATGTGTAACAATAGCCATGAGCCTATTAAAATTGCACATCTCCCCTTCTGATCCGTGTGCATTGTTGATGTGTAAATTGCCTTGTCTAACTGCATGTGTGGTTGTTGATTTCCATTCTGATGTATGTGCATATCATTACCTCCACATATGCTTTAGCTGCGTGTTTAGGAGCCCTTAACCTCCGGTGCGAGAGGAGAGTGGGCATGTGCGTGCGTGCGTGTGTGTGTGTGTGTGATTGATTGTGTTCATGTGAATCTAATGCATTTTAAAAGAGTCTTTGCTGTTTGCGCCTCCCACACACAACGCCAGGAGACAGACAGGAGAGCAGGGACACAGCCAAGCATATGTTTAGTTGAAGTAGCCATCACTTTGCTGAGATGGTGTTTGATTGCAGAAAAGTGTATTTGATATATTTTCCTTTGTGCGTCTATATGGTTACATCATCGTGGCACATGGCCAAACGCACAGATATTCACCAGGACATTTTAATAATAATTCAATAATCACATGTCGGTCTGAAGACAGCTGGAGCGTAAATGGCTGTATTAATTATTCACCATTGGCAATTGTTGCTATTTAGGTACACTCCTTAAAGCTCCTATATTACACAAATCGACTCTTTACAGTGTTAAGTCATGTTATGTTGTTGTTACGTCACCCTAAACATACCCAGGATATGTTTAGGATGAAGTTTTGATTCATTCACACTTATTTCAGTAACATATTTTCCAGACTATTGAGCGCCACCTTTTACCTTTTGTTTAGTAGAAATTGTTAATTTGTTGGCTGAAATTGCTTGATGCTGATGAAGGTGTATGGAGTTTAAAAACACAATCGAGCACTTCCTGTATTACCAAATGACATCAAAAGGTTGAACAGAGTGTTTTCTGTTTGAGAGAACTCAGCCTAAATATATGTTAAATGTGTGAATGAAACAAAACACAACTCTGGGTTTGTTTTTGATCAAGAAACAACATTAGAACGTACATCAGAAAATAGTGTAATATGAGCCCTTTATTAAAGGCTGAAGAAACATGATTCTTAAAAGCTTGAAAAATCTAAACTAGTTCTGAACATTTTCCAGTGGTCTTAAATTATTCCTCACTTACCTTATGCATTCTGAGCATCCTAATTATTCACCAGTTTATAAGCTCTTTTTACAACTTTCTGAGACAAGAGCGAAGTTTATCATCACGGTAAAGCAAGCAATAACTAGCATGCTAACCATCAGCCTTACAATTAACCACCAGACCAAGTTGCAGGTCAGAGGAATTTACATATTTTGTAATTAACTTAAAACAAAATATCTGTAACTGTATAAACACAAGGCAAACATGTTTAATGTCATATGGTGGAACATTTCAGTATAGCATTTCCAGTATTATTTAATTATGTAATAAAAAAAAATCTATAAAAAAGATTTCTGGATAGCAGGTTCATAACTTCACTTAACTTCATAACCAACTTTAACTGGTGAGATGGTGAATGCTAATGTGAATTTGAGCATCTCTTGGTTTGTCAGTGGGAGGTACCTTTGCTCCGAGCCCTTTCTGTAACTTTAATAAAGTTGCAGAATATTAGGTGATATGAATTCAACTATATTCTCCATACAACTGAAAATATACTGGGGATGTTTTCTTTTACAACTTCTGCAACAACTTTCAAAACTACATGTATCTGACACAATTCCAATAGCACACTGCATTTCAAATGTGGTTCGATAACAGTGAGGACGCTTTGGCCTCAAAGTCAACTCTGAGACACTGATGCATATGTGAAACTACATAACGCAACAGTGCTAAAGAATAATAATAACAAAAGTTCTTCTCATAAATATTGTATACATTACTGTAAAGTTTTGACTTGTGTATAAATGCAGTTATCCTCTGTGTCTCCAGATGTGAGTTAGACATCTTCAATCCAAATATAACTTTTACAGATAACAACTGTACTGCTGATTTACACTTGTTTACAAAATGACACGATGACCAACTCGTGCTTTATTCAAGAGCTTCACATGAGTCTCTCATTCGGGTTGCCAGTTTTAGTACTACAATCCAGTTGGTTCAAACCTAAAATGCTTCTCTCTGATCTGAATCCTCACTAGCTAAACCCCAGAATCTGCAGCCAATCATAAATCAGTGCCTCTGCAACTCAGTGAGTGAATTCTGGAGGTTCTGAGCGTTCACATGAGGCATGACTTGTCCTTATACTGAGAAAAAAAAATATGTGTCCTCTACATGGTGCAGGTTAAGGCAGCAATAATAGGTTTAGTTATGGTTGCAATATCCTTTTTTAAAACCGCAGAGTGCAGGTTTCATACATTACCTTTAAATATTAAATGTTACCAAATGTACAAATGTTTGTCATGCTTTTTATATTACAGTGACTTTTGTTGTAATAATAATAGCACAGAGCAGTCCTACTCACATGCCATCCTTGCGAGTGACGGTGTACCCATGTTCAGGGTAATGGACGAAGGTCACATTGACTCCGATGAGGGGCGTCCCGTCAGCTGTGAGCACCTGGCCCCGGATTATAGACACCAAACTGTGAAGGGGAAACAAACATAGATGGGATAACTCAAAGGATTAACCATATTTGCAATATTTTTCATATTTTATAACCTGTTGACAGCAGTGGGGAATATGCAGTGTTGCAATGGCTAATTTATATGGCACTAAGAGATAGATGTTTTGCAATAAAAAGGTGTACTATGTGACTTTTCCCGGTGACGGCATGCTGCTTGTCTCCATGGAGATGTTATTCCTTTGATGGAATGTGTTCCTCAGCGTGACACATTTGTCTATCTTCATGACACAGCCCTCCACTAGAAACGTTACACAATGTACCTTTAGGGACTGAAATTGGATTAAGTTTGGCAAAGGTTCATGCACCTTAAAAACAATTTTCAGATACAGAGTTACTTGTAAAAGTATGCTGGAGGTAAACAAAAACTGCTCCTGATTTGTTTTGTTAGGTTCACATAAAATTATTCCAATACATGGTACCACTTTATATTAACTATATTTTTAATAGCCTCGTTTTAAAATGACTTAACGAACAAATTGTTTATTAAGAAGGATTCAAGATTAGTACTTAATTTAGGGGTTAGGGTTAGCTCTTGGATATTAAGAAACTATAATTAAGTTTTGGTTCATAGTTTATTAGGGCTAATTAAGATGTATTTTTTATAGTCATATGTGGCGCTTATATCACAGATTGATAACATTATGCACTCACAAGTACCATCCACCCAATTCGACTTGTTGACTTTTGCTATACATTCACCTTCTCCACCTCCCAGAACTATCTCATTTGCATTGGGTTTTCTTTCTGCGTGGGGTGTCTCATTGTAAGAGCAGAGAGCAGTGATGCTTGACTCCAACTCAAAACATTTGAGCAGAGCTGTGGGAGCAGAGTAATGGGACAGCGATATTACCACGCGGGCCACAGTGCCACCTCTCTCTCTCATTTACATATGTGTGCGCGCTGCTGCCTTCATCAGACACATTCAAGTGAACTGGAGGAGATAATCACCAGAAAAGACTAGAGCGGGTGAGGAAGAGGAGCGATGAAGAGCTTCTCCACTCATTCTTCAACCTGCCATATAGATCCAGGGTGTTCCTGTCCGCATGAGACCTTTGATTTGACTCGTGATGGATTATGATTTGCAGTTACACTCATGCATCATTTTGACGTTACACTGGTGTTTAAAGGGCCCATACTACCCTATAGTCTCAGCTATCTATAATGTTGGTTTGTTTCATTCACACAAACCCTGCATATGGACCCCGGGCTGTAGTTTGCCCACCCCTGATTTAGATAATTTTAGCATTGGTGTTGCCAATCTATACTGAACAAAAGATAAAATGTAGCTGTAAAATTTAAAACTACTGCTTGATGATATCACAAGGTGGAACAGACCATTCTGAGCTTTGGAGATATACACAAACTAATAATAAAGGGTTACTTAAACATGTGTGAATGAAACAAAACACTCTTCCAGGTATGTTTTCAAGGAGGCAACGACATTCTAACATGGCTCATGAGTAAAGTAGTTCCAATTGCTAGGTTTCCAATGATCTCATGATTCTATAGTCCAATTATATTTAATACAGATGCAAGAAAAGCACCTATTGATTTGACCTGTCCTAAAACGCCATTGGGACAGCCTGTCAAGTGCGGCGAGATAAAAGCAGTACTCTGGGACCCTAATCCAAATATTGAACCAGGACCTTGGATAACCAATATAGAAAACAACAGGATCATGTAGAGCGGGTTAAGACGAACATTTTAAGACCAAAGTGATGAAGCTCACTGCAGTTACAGAGAGAGGAGTCTGACCATTTTTCACTGGAAAGTCAATTGGAGTCAGAGTAGATGGAGCTGGAAGCGTGCCCATGCTCACTTCAAATGTGGAACGCGGGGGCTAGCAGCTTACCTATGTCCATTTATACAGTCTGTGGACAGAAGAATCCTAACTACTCTGCCACTGCAATACCAGATATTTCATAACCTTTGATTAGTTCACATTTTTCATTATATTAGTGAATTTATTTGTCATGCATGCTATGATGAACTGACTAGGGGTGTAACAATATTCAAATCTCATGATACGATATCGTCACGGTATGAACCTCACGGAACGATATTTATTGCGATATCGTAGGAAAGCACACGATACGGTTGGGAGGCTCACGATATTACAATATTATACATAATAACAAGACTGACATTATAAAATGCTTTGAACAGTCATTTGGTAAAACATGTATTGCCATATTCTAGGGATTTAACAATATCCAACTCTCACAGTATAATCATATCACGATATGCATCTCGCGGTACGATATTTATTGCGATACTTTGAAGAGCTAATAATTAAAGATGGGGCACTTTTTTGCTTTAAAATACCTTGACAAGATTTTTGTGTGAATTATTACTGTCATAATCCCAAGAATTCAAGTAAAAAACATATTTCTTCATGGTGTCTGCACTGAAATGAACCATGGGATATGTAGTTCTTATGTTTATTATCTGTTGCTACTATAAAAAAAAAATTATTTAAGCAAAGAAACTTGTGATTCGATATATTGTGACAGCCCACGATATTATTGTGAGACTTCTGATGATACGATATCATGATATTTCAGTTATTGTTACATCCCTAAAACAGAATAATCTTACAGCATATACACATTTGACTCCAAAAGTTAATCAGTTTAAATAATGTATGTATTTAAATAGATGTATTAGATTAAATAGATACAAAATTTACATGGTTGTGCATGTTCATATATTTTAATATGAAGAGTTAATTAAAATACAAACAAACAAAAAAAGATATTTATTTTAAAAACCAAATCTTTTTTAGCACAATACAAATACTATTCCGTGCCTCCTGGCCTTGACTCAATCCACTCAACAAAATTCACATATTTAAAAAAAAAGACAAATCTATAAAAGCTGCTGAAATATCTGTTTTTGTCAGTGAACTCTTGATAATTTCTTTCAAAAGGCCTTGATGCTGCTTGGTCAATGAAAAATAGTGAATCACTTGATATTTTTTTCTTTTTTGCTAATGATTAAATCTCAGCATTCAAACTGAAGCACTGATCGGATCAAAGCCTTTTAGATTTCTCCTGATCTCATTCATGAAGCATTAACCACTCGGGGAGATGTGTGTAAATATTCTCCGAGCAAATCAAATCAAACAAGTCATGGGATTATTCAGATTCAGATATTCAGGTCTCGGTCTGTCGGACTTTTAGAAACAATGTCAAGGAGATGTTTATTTTCTCAATTTCAATTCAACGTTACCAATAATTAAAATCCTGTATATGCCGTGCTCCAGTCCACTTTGTATTGAAAAACTGCTCCTCTCTCCCTAACCGCTGCTCTGAGCCTCATAATTCTGGACTTAAAATGTTTGTCTTAACCAACTCACTCACTCAAACCACATGATCCTGGTGTTTTTATTTCACCATTTGGTTCGTAACCCCAGATATGAACATTAATAGCAGACAAATCAGGCGTCTTCTTTCCTCGACAAGTTTGATTGACAGCCATTGGTGCGGCTGGAAAATGGTGTTACCTTCAACAGAAAATTCGCTCCCATAACTGCTAGCCTTGACCAGCTTCATTTGTTTGGAGCCAAGCACTATGAATGATGTCACACTCCGTTAGTCCACTTCTTTATATGATTGTATTTCCTGTATCTATATGCATTTGCAGAAGAAATATCTCAAAATATATCCTTTTTTATCATACTACCACAAAATTTTGCAGCTCACTCACCCTAACCGGCCCTAATTGAAGACTACACGCAGGCCTATTACTGCACCATTAGAAGCACGTCTTATTCTATATCAGACTGAGACCTGTGTTTTGTCACAAGACCCAAATGTCCTCCACTTCCTCCAACATGACCACACAATGTCACTTTGCTGCAGGGCTGATCTGACATAAGCCTTTAATAACTCCATTGATTTTAGCCCATGAGTTACTTACATTATAAAGAGCAAATTAATGTCCAGGTATCTGTGAACCCTCCAGCACCAAACTCATAAACGCTTCAAATAATTAACTGCCATCGTTCAGAGTAGAATCCATGGAGGACAAAAACTGCATTTGGACTGTGGTCAAGTGTTTGATTGAAGGATCGTTATTGAAGGATCATGCACTGCAAAAAATGCAAAAACTAAGACAAAAATCTACAAATTAATAAATCTTACCTACTTTCTTTGAGAAAAAAAATGTCTTGCTGCAGTACTGATATATAGTATAATTTTTACCTAAGCAGAAACTTTATTTTGCTAAATTCAACTCATGTACTCTAAAAATATGTTTATTTTAAAGTAAACATGTCAAATTCAGGCCTGGGGGCCAAATTTGGCCCACGATATAATTATATTTGGCCCATAAGATCATAGGCTACAGATAGACTACAGAGACATTATTTATTTAAAATTTTGTTATTACTTTATATTATGCTTGTTCTGGATTCAATGTTTAAGCAAAATTATTATTAAATATTTATTTTAATACAAAAAGGTTTAACATTACATATCTTGAAAGAAGAGAAAACATGCAGATGTTGTTGAAATTTTTCAATAAATATTTAGTTTGGCCCACAGCTTAGTCCTAGTTTTTAATGTTGGCCCTCTGTGAATTTGAGTTTGACATCCCTGTTTTAAAACAATGAACTATGTTTATGTTTTACAACTTAATAATTTAGATTTATTTAAGAATAGATTTTTATGTAGATTAAATGTGAATTATGCAACTTTTCTAGTGGACAGTTCACCACCTGCTTGTTTCCATGGATGTTGTTATTGCTTTGCTTCTGGAAGGTTCCACACTGGCATCAAAATGATCTACGCCAACACAGATGGTCATGGTTATTATTTTTATATAACACTTTTCCAGCTTCAAGGCACTCAGAGCAGTTTGCATCAAGGAACCACACACACACACACACACATTCACTGGGGGCAAGGGGGGTTAAGTGTCTTGCCCAAGGACACAACGATAGTATTCATCTCTAGGAGCTGGAATCACACTGCCAACCTTCAGATCAGTGGACAGACACTCTACCAACTGAGCTACTGACGTCAAGTTACCGGCCACAGTCAGTTTAATGGTAGTAGTAGTGAAGTGATCCCTCTAACAATAAGAATTCAGGTTTTCGAGATATTTTTGAGCAATGCCAGCACCTGTAATTGAATAAATGCAAGATGAATGTGTTTAAAGCCATATTGCGGAACCTAACAGGCAAAGCAATAACATCTCAGTAGAGACAAGCAGATGGTAGACACACCTGAAACGTGACTACTGAATAGACGGTATAGAGTTCAGTTGGGGTTTTTTGCTGTGAAAATCATTATATATTGGCAGGCTTTAACATATTACACTTTGAGATGTATTTTCCGACCACCATCTAACCACCGCAAGCACATGTTAATCTATTTCTCCTCAATTTATTTTAGTTTCTTTTTCTTGCCATGAATGAACGCACTGTACGCGCTTGGTACACTGGGGTGAAATGGGCGGTTGGGTCATTTTGGACAGAGCTGAAAGAAAGCAGGAGGTGGTCAGTGGAGAAATAAAAAATAATAATACGAGCACTATTATAAAAGCAGGCTCAAAGCAATTTCGCTGTATTAATTTTTTAGAAGGTGCCGCGGGCCAGTCTGCAACCACAAACACCTCCTGTCACTGTGCGAAGAACTGATGTAAATTGGTATTGATTTAAAATACCATAGAGCTTTCATAGATCATTTTAGTTAGCTAACTTTGTTCAATTTTTGCATAGTAGTTTTCATGTACTCTGGCTGATGCGTTCAAGGCGTCATTATAACATTTTAACTGATCTTCTACGCACTCTTCTAAGTAACTTCAAGCTTTGTTTCACTATAAATCTCACCTTTAGTCTTTCTAGAGGACTAAAATTTTCTTAAGATCTAAATTCTTCATCCAAAACTGATATCAGCATCATTTTGGTTGACCTTGAACCACCTCACCACAGTAATTCTTTAATAAGTTCTGTGCATTTGACCCATTCTTCAATGCCCCTAGATACATGTCAGGAAAGTTCGGTAACCACACTAGAGTGCCCATCTCCAAATATTGAGCTGAGTTTGGCTTCTGTTCAATTTCATTTATCTCTAGCGACTAGGTCAGGAATCGGAATACACTAGATGGTTTGCAAGAACCCTGGAAGTACAAGTTCGAGCACAAGCCAATCAAGCGAAAAGCCATACATTCTGTGTTAGCAACGATTCCCAAGATCGAGGATTTAAAGCCGGAACAAAAATAATTTTGGGGGAAGTTTATCAAGGGGAAAGACGTTATTGTCCTTCTTCCTACAGGATTTGAGAACATCTTAATATACCAGTTAGCTCCGATAGCGGCTCATTACATACACCATGACCAAATAGCAGCGATTGGTTAAATTTTTAAAAGGTACCCGCCTAGTGTCGAACAAACGAATCCTAATGCTGTGAGGGCAGATTGTTTCCACGAAGTGAAAACTGGCTGATGAATCAGGCTAAATTAAAAGTTCTATACAACACAAAATGTATTCTTGTGAGATTTAAGCCATGTTACAATGTGTACCTCATGTGAGTAATCATTTATTATCAGTCTGTTTATATCTACACTCAACTCAAAATGCTCTGCTCCACCTTGTGATGTCATGAAGCTACCAAATTAACACCTACCTTTTAGTTTTCATTATGGAGATGGGCAAATCCAGGGCTAAAATTAACCAAATGATTCAGCGGAGCACTTTATGTATTACCACATGACATCACAAAATGGGACAGAGTGTTTTCAGTTTGAAGAAGCCTAAATATGCAGGATTTGTGTGTTAAACATGTGTGAAAGAAACAAAACACAACTTCGCGTATGTCTTTCATGAGGAAACAACATAATAACAAATCAGGAAATAGTGTCATATGGGCCTTTTAAAGCCAGAGAATTAGCCTATATATTGCGTGTGTTTTAGGATGATAAGCGAGACTGGAGCACCCAAAGGATCCCCAAAAGAAACAGGGAGAACATTCTAACTCAAGGGTGTTAACGTATCTAAACCATATGATAATTTATTTAGCCTCTCCTGTTTGGTAATTGCAATGTCCATCTATGTATTTCATTATGAAGCAAATATATGTGTTCACAATCAGCATTTTGTTTTCACCTCCAAAGCATGAACAGTTTTGTTGTTATAAATTGGTATTGATCCAAAACATAACGCAGTCTCCTTCGCTAATTGCTACCCAATAATTTCAGTGTCTGCTATTAAGTGCATTTTTCCATCCGTTAAATTAAAAGAAATACATTTTAAACCAACACAATCAATACAAAAAACACATTCAAAACTCTCACTGCAGTCTGCATGAGAAAACATTTTTATTACCAAGCTGTGGCCTCTGCTTTTTTATACAGCGTTCAGGCGCACATGGAAAAATGGGACAAAAGCGAAGCAAATAGCAGCGCCGAATCGCAATCATGTTTCACTAGCCCAGCCTTCACCACGGCAACGCTTATCATACTTATTGAATGTTGAGTTGAAGGAGACATGGGCTTTTCTGTATACGCCATAAGCAATTTTTTTGTTTGTTTTTGTTTATTTATTATAAATTTGTCCAGACAGAAGATGAGCTGTCAGGCCTATAGCGATGGTGAATAACATCGAGGTTAAGTTGACAGTGACCCAGAGCCAATGTGGAATTATTATGAGTCAAAACAAAGAAATGACAAACAAGATGAAAGGCAGGCTCAGCCCTGATTGAGTTACTCTGAGAAATAGAAGCCATTTAAACAAAGTATTAAAAACTAAACTATTATATTCACAGGATAGAGGCTATATGGAAATCAGCATATGGGCAAACAATTGAAGAGTTATCAAAACTAACATACTATTCAATGTACATTTAATGCATGTTTAAATGATTTATGAAAACTAACTAACTGCAAGCCTGTATTTCCTCCAGCCGCCTGTGCATGCGTGTACAATAAATGTCATGTTTGCGTACCTTCTGTTGAATGGGTTGTCCCCGGTGATGACGTGAGTGGACTCTGGACCGACAAGGAAGTGGATCCTCTGGTAGAACGATCTGGCAGCCTGGAAGAAACAAAGCAGGTTTTTGTCAAGTTTGAGAAAAGATATCGCAATATTACATATACACACATACACACATGCACACACATGCACACGCACGCACACACACACACACACACACACACACACACACACACACACACACACACACACACACATAACCTGAGTTTTCAAATGCTTTTCGTATTTCGATACTAGTTTTAGTATTGGTGGTCCTGATGTGTTGACGCCAGTACACATGTAGATCATAATATATCCAACTAGAAAAGCGCAGACCTCCGCCAAGGACTACAGTCCCCCTCATATTAATTGTGTTTTCCATAAATATTTGTCTTGTATCTTTCAATTTGGAATATGGGGGTTCATGGGGTTTGATCAATAATTAACCGAGATATTGAGAAACAAAATTTTTGGCCCCATTTACCACAATGTTAACTAAAATTTCAAAGTGATCCAGAATCCAGGATTTCTTCTGGATCACCCCCAAAATGAAATCAGTTCTTCCTTTTCACATTTCCAACAAATCCTGAAAATTTCATCAAAATCGGTCCATAACTTTTTGAGTTATGTTGCTAACAGACAAACAAACAGAACAAACAGACAAACGCCGGCAAAAACATAACCTCCTTGGCGGAGGTAAATATGAGAGAGTACCTGTATTGAGGTGAGTACCTGTTGTGGGGAGAGTACCTATTGTGACTTGAGTATCTTTTGTGGGGAAAGTATCTGTTGTGTGTAGAGTACCTGTTATAGGGTGAGTACCTGCTGTAAGATGAGTACCTGTTTTGAGTACCTGCTGTGAGTTGAGTACCTGTTATTGGGTGAGTACCTGCTGTGAGTTGAGTACCTGTTATAGGGTGAGTACTTGCAGATTGGTGAGTACCTGTTGAGAGGTGAGTACCTGTTGTAGGGAGGAGTATCTGTTGCAACAAGAGTACCTGTTGAGAGTTAAGTTCCTGTTGTGGGGAAAGTACCTATTGTGGGTAGAGTACCAGTTATAGGGTGAGTACTTCCTGTGAGGAGAGTACCTGTTGTGGGCAGAGTACCTGCTGTGAGTTGAGTACCTGTTAAAGGGTGAGTATATGTTATAGGGTGAGTACTTGCTGTGGGGAGAGTACATGCTGTGAGATGAGTACCTGCTGTGAGTTGAGTATCTGTAATGAGTAGAGTACCTGCTGTGGTTCAGTATCTGTAGTGAGTAGAGAACCTGTTGTAGGGTGAGTGCCTGCTGTGGGGTGAGTATCTGTAGTGAGTAGAGTACCTGTTATGGGGTGAGTACCTGCTGTGAGTAGAGTACTTGTTGTGGGGAGAGTACCTGCTGTGAGTAGAGTACCTGTTGCGGGGTGAGAGCTGCGGGGGACTGGCTGAGCACCTCGGCGGGGTCTGGAGAGCCTTTACAGAACTGCTGTGTCTGACAGGACGGCTGCAGGCAACAGTCCGGGTCCATGCAGTCGGCCAGTCCGTCTGAAACATTCACACACATTTGACCATCATTAGGAATACTTTTTTTTCTTAATTGAGGGTCATATACTGGCAAAAGTATTACATAAGTATATATCAGTATTAGTGGGTTTCAGCTTCCTATAATGTAAAATTTAGAGGACTTTTCCCACTCAAAAGATGTTTAATCACTATGGCGACCTCCCTAATTCTTCATCATTCTGGACCAGTGGAGTTTGGTGTATGTCACCTTCTTGTCTCCATGAAGAACAAGAGACAAGCAGGTGACACTATGGTTACGTTTACACTGAAACAAATCACTGTATGACCTTATTGGAAAAGATTTGCGTCCAGACACATCGTTTCTGTGTCCGCAAGCCTTTCTTTCCTTCTCCAGCTTTGAGCATATTTGTTTACATTTTACAAAAATTTAACTTAAAACCACATGGCTAATTTGCATAAACTGAGCGCTCAAAAAACTGCTCGGTATTGTGCACTGATCCGGTTCAGCTTCTGTCGAACTAAAGGACATGACTAAGTGGAATATGAGTGTTCTTTCTGTGACAGAGGGGTGTTCTGCTGATGGTGAGTCTGTTCTGTGTTTCTATCGCGTTGGAGATGGTTCATGTTAAACTTTTCCGAGATTATATGTCTGCACATCAAACACGTAAACTGTATATATGAATGGACATATTCTAGCCTTAGCGTTTTGGCGGTGAATTACTTTGTGGCACACAGACCTACATCAGCATATCAGCATTTTCATGTGTCTACACTGTGTCGGATCAGATCCATACTCAGATGAATTCGTGGGAGCTGGCGGAACCAGATCGGTCCGTCTCTGGAGCCGTTTTCCATCAGATTAGGTTGGAGGAACACTGCATCCACAACGAAAACGACTCAAATACATACTAGTGTGGACGGGGCCTATCTGATCAAGTAATGAGTCAGATCTGTGAAGAGGCAAGCCCGCTCAAAGTAAAAATGCATCTTTAAATGTACAAACACCTTTAACTGAATAACTGCACGAAACGTTTAATGCTACACTGCTGAACATTCCAGGCAAAGCAATAAAATCTCCATGGCGACAGGGAGGCGGCAGAAAACCTCCACCAGATTTAAACAGTGCAAATAAACCAAACTGGATGTAACCTGCGTATTTTTACAACAACTTGGGTTTTTTGCTTGTAAGGAGAAATTCAATTATCCATGGATTCTACTTGAACAACTGAGGGATTTTACATATATGTACATACATACGTTTCTACAATCCAACAGCGGAAAACCCCTGATTTCTGAATATTAATCTGCTAAAAGTGATTGCTGCTCTATAGGGAAAGGATGGAGGGATAAAGGGAAAGAGAGAGAGAGCCAGGGTTGAGGCTAGAATCAAAACAGGAGGAGACGGAGAAGCACCAGAGGGCTGAGGGACCAGTGGAGGATAAAGTGGGATTAGGAATAATTATAGATGCAGGAGGGACGGTATAAGGAGACAGGGAGGAGAGACAGGAGGACTAGAGGAGATTTAGAGCGATGAATGGACATTAGACTTACAATGGGACAGAACATGGAGAGGGGAATAGAGATGTAATACGGGCTTTGTTGTCACAGAGAACAGGCGATGACAAATGAGGCGGGCTATGAGCAAATACAGTTTAAAATACTAAAAACGGTTGATTTTAGTTTGGTCATTTTAAAACATTGTACAAAATGAGGGCCTTAGAATATATGCAATTTTTGGCATAATTTATTTATTGTGCCGAGCTCACGTGCAGCAGCTCAATTTTCTTCTTCGACAGCCACATCAATCGCCGTTAACTTAAAAGCTGCGTCATCTGCATTTCTTTGTGTGTTTTCCATGAGGAGGGTGCATGTGTGAAGTGCAAAATAACTGTTCAAAACACAATTAAACACCATCTTCCTCCGCGCATCACCCCCGTCTCTCCCCGCAATCTACTGCGCATGTCTCCTGCAGAAAGAGCCTATGTCCTGTCTGGTATCGCGTCGGTGTCTTGGAGGATTTCAGCAGATTTCAGACTTTCTCGGGGGTGGGGTTAGTTCTATCAATCAGGTCTGAGTGAATGTCCGGCTACTGAAGTTTGAGACATTTTTTCTCATCATTTACGCACACGGGTAAGACGTATCCCCCTCACTAATGTTCATTTAGCATCATAACTTATTTTATCAGACGGCGATAAACTATTTGAGTGTGCTGACAATATCAGTAGATAGTGTAGCACAGACAGCGGCGTTTTCTGAACTCAAGCTGCACGTGTATCTGCTGTGTTGCCAAACCATAGACTGTAAATATGAATGGACAATGTGCCAAACAAAGAATCCATCTATATATTTGCCACATTGTTTTATTAGCCACAGGGTTCAAAGTGTGAGAAAAAAGTAGCGACTTATAGTCCGGAATTTACGGTATGCAATTTGGTGTATTTCTTGTGCAAAACTGAAATGAGTAAAGACTTAATTGCATTCTAACAAAGTATTTTATCTGTAAATATACAATTCTTAGGGTCTGGGGGGCCGGTGAAAGAGGCGTGGCGGGCCAGAGTCTGCCCGCGGGCCTTAGCTTGATGACCCCTGGATTAGACGAATACAACAAAACTTTGATAGCGTAAAAGTGCAATGACAAATGAGTCGTGCTATGGGCAGATACAGTTTAAAATGCTTAAAAAAGGTTGATTCTAGTTTGGTCATTTCAAAATATCTGTAAATATACAATTCTTAAGTCCTATATTATGCAAAATAGACTCTTGTTGTGATTTTTTTTCCTTTACACATGTTTGAGAAATCCTTTATAATTAGTCTGTTTACATCTCCAAATCTCAAAATGCTCTGTTCCACCTGGTGAAGTGGAAGTTTTCACGTTAACAGCTTCCTTTAACTTTTTGTTCAGAAGAGACGGGCAATTCCAGGGCTGAAATATAATTAGTAAGTAATATGAGTATAAGTAAGTAATAAGTAATATGAGCCTTTTAAATCTTAATCTTAAACTTTTTTTCCATTTGTTTACAAAATTTTAAAGTGTAATCCTGCGTTTATATAAAACTATAAAGCCTTAACCGTTGCCGGGAAGAAGTAAAAAGAAGGGATGCACAGAAGAGACAATGAAAAGAGAGAGGAGCAGATGGATGGAGTGATAGACGGAGGAATGCGGGCTAATAAAATCTGTTCTGCCATTCATCTCTGTTAGTTTCTAAAAGCCAATTGTACATCTGGAGACAAGCCACAGGAGACACACACGCTTTAACTTTTTTTTTCTTCTCTCTTTTTTCTTTTCTTTTTTTTTTTTTTATACAATGACTGCACCTTTACGTTTCAGCCTTCATTAAACCCTACCGCGGTTCACTGCACAAATTACACCAAATTATCGACAAATTGTGTAACAGTGAAAATCAGAAAGTGGGTTTTTGAATGCAGAGGGGGTATATCTTTTACATTATAATTGTTTTCATGTCTGGAAAATGGCAGTTATACAAGAATGTGAAGTTTAACAGTGGGGGCAGCCATTACTCATGTACTGGACGTAAAAAGAACGATTTGGCATTAAGCAGAATCTGGAGGTCTAAGGGTAGATTCTTGGACTGAACATTAAAGCCACAGTGCGTAACTTTTTGGAGGTGAAATAGAAAGTTAAAACCATGCTGTCAAACATTCTCCATGGAGACAGATACATTTTATGCCAGACAGTGGAAGGTTATAGAAAAATAAGAGTCAGGTTTGTGTGCATTGTTGCTTAGGCTACATTTACACCAAAACAAATCACCGTATTGCAAAATAATTTGCGTCCAGACACGTTGTTTCTGTGTCCGCAAGCCTTCCCTATCCACGCAGCTTTGAGCATATTTGTTTATGTTTTACAGAAACAATCTTTAAAACCGCCTAATTTACATAAACTGAGTGCTCAAAGCAGCTCGCTATTGTGCGCTGATGTGGCTCAGCTTCTGTCGAACTAAAGGACATGACTCAATGGATTATATGTGTTCTTTCTGTGACAGAGGGGTGTGCTGCTGATGGTGAGTCTGTTCTGTGCTTCTATCGTGTTGGCGATGGTTCATGTTAAACTTTTTAGAGATTATACGTCTGCAGGTCATACACATAGGCCGTATATATGAATGGACAGATATTCTAGCCTCTTAGCGTTTTGGTGGTGAATTACTTCATGGCGCATAGACCTACGTCATTGTATCAGCGTTTTCAAGCATCCACACAGTGCTGGATCAGATCCGTATTCAGATGAATTCATGGGAGCTGGCGGCACCAGATCATTCCGTCTCTGGGGTCGTTTTCCATCGGATTAGTGTAGACGAACACTGTGTCCGCAACGAAAACGACGCAAATAGGTATGTCTTGATGGGGTCTTAGTTGTTTTTCAGTGCAATAAAATCACGTGTACAAAGCATGCTCTGATTTTAGTTTGCTTTTTGGCTAAAAACTTACACACGGTGGTTTTCCTTTTTCTATTTGCCATCTTGGTTTAATGCAATTTTTACTATTTGGTTTTAATAGAGCTATTCAAATCAGTTTATTTGGAATATTTTTCTGAATACTTTGGGGCATTTTTGTTGCAATTTTGAACATTCTGTATTCTTAAAGAAGACTTTATTGCACTTGTGTCTACTATATACTAATCTACTGTATGACACCCGTGGATGTTATAATTTGAACATTTAGATTACATTAGACCAGGGGTCAACAAACTTTTTTCCTAACTCTGATGGGGGCCGGTGTCGGGTCGGTCGTAACAGAATTATATGACCCTGGCGACGCAGATCATATTCTTTGAAACCCACCAAGCTTTCTTTACATATCAGGCAAACTGCACTGCTCCTTACACTGAACAGAAAAATAATCGATTGTCCAATGTTCTTTGAAAATCCTGCACTCTCTGTCAACTTTTTGTACTTTAACACTAGCCATTTTGCTGTCCTTAACTGCACTACAGTACTCTTTGATCTTGAGCTTGTCAGGTGACGAAAATGTAAACATGTCATATAATTTTTTTATATAAATATAAATACTTCAAATACATTTTTTTTTTATTGAAAAAAAATCAACAAAATACAAGCAGATGAGTTATTATTTGCCAAAAAGTAATAGGTCATGGCAACCTTTGAGGATTGCCTCAGAGGGGCTGGGGGGCCGGAGTGTACCCGTGGGCCTTAGTTTGATCACCCCTGGATTAGACGAATACAACAAAACTTCGATAGAGCAAAAGTGCAACAGTCAAAATTCATAAATATAAAGACATCCGCACATCTCGTCAGATACCAAAATGATTATGCAATGCTGATGAACTCTGCGTATATCACTGATTAAGAAAATAAAATTGGAGAATGAAGTAAATCCAGAGTGACTGATGGACGTATGACAGTAGCAGTAAAAACGGGTTTGATCGGCAATATGGCGTCTTGAAAGTAAGGGATTAAATATTGCTAATATCACTAATCACTCCAAATAGAACTGTGGCTAAGTAAGAGAATCTAAAAAAAAGTTTGTTTTGCATCATAGGTCCGTTTTAAGGTCATCTATCCATCATTCATTCATGTACTATAGTGTGCACTTAAGTTATCAGATCAACCATTTTGTTTTATAGTCACTTCTTAAAGACCAATCTTTTGAAAACTGATTCAAAGCATTTAAAGATGGTGAGTAAGACATACAATCTATTAACTTTGTAGAGAAGACTGAATGAGGCTTACTCACTGTAGGCACTATAGGACATATAGTGCACTGTATATGTTCCCTGTTCTATTGACGAGGACGGCGGTATTTCAGAGTCATTGGAGCTTCAAAGAGGCGTTTGAACTTTGGAGCAGAGAGTTCATTCACAACACTACATCAAGGTGCTACGCTACGTCTGAAAAGTCACAGTCCATCACATGTGCAAGGGAGGGGAAATCTATCTACTGATCCTGCTGCTACAACATGGACTTTGGCTATTTGAGTAACGTGTTTGATATAGAGCCTTTTTATAGATGTGTGAATAAAAACGTTTTTTGAAATGGAGGCAACTGGAATCTGGAATGAAGTAGAACATAATGTAATTTCAGTGGGTAAATTTGGATTAACCACAGAATATCAGAAAATTAAAAAAATGAAGTGGGGATTGGCAAATGAGAAGCACATATGAGTGAGGTCAGAGCGCAGTTTAAATACAATTTAGTTTCATGTAATGTATTCAATGGGAGATTATCACACACTATTTATGAAGGAAAAATCCTGATGTTTATGGTTTTACTTGACAAATACTTACAGAAATATACCTACACAATAGGGGTGTAATGATATCCGAGTCTCACAATGCGATATCGTCACGGTATGAACCTCACGGTACAATATTTATTATCATATTTTGTGGAGGCTGACAAAACTGTTAATATGCTACTTTTTCCTCTTAAAAAGCCTTGACAAGCGTTATTATTTCTTCTTGTGGTCAACACTGAGATGGAGCAAAGGATCATGGTCTATGGTCCTCTGTCTTTTTTTCGCTATTGCTGCACCATAACTCTTAATTTAAGCAAAGAGACTTACAATTCGATATATTGTGATGGTCCACAATATTACTGTGAGAACTTTCATGATACGATATCATGATATTTCAGTTATTCTTACATCCCTACTACACAATACTTTTAATTTGAACTTATATATGTACATACTTTGCCACTTAGTGAGATTTAAATACTATTTTGAGGGTAGATTTTTTTTTTCTTTTTCATCTTTTGTAATAGAAAAGAAAGCAAACTTTTAAGAACACATCATTCTATAGGGTTTCTGTTGAAGGTGGACTATGGAAGTTTTTGATAAAGGTCCCCTTGCTTGTTTCCATGGAGATGTCACGGTTTTGCCTAGAATGTTCCACAGTAATCTACATCAAGAAGAGCATGTAACACCCCACGTGATTACAGCTGAATACACGTTTTTCCAAGTGTTATTTTTGCAGCTGTAAGCTACTGTAAATGAACAAATGTAACTGAACAAATGTACGATAAATAAGTTCAATGCCAAAGTAGGTGGCAGACTGTCAATTGTGCTCTTAAAAACTCATTTAAATCAAAAACTTGGAAACCATATTATTTTTATGATGTTAATGATGTTTTCTATTTTGAAATGGATTAAAATTAATCTTGGCCTGTGCACATCATCTCATAGATAAGACAGATTCCAAAGACATTGAAAGGAACTGCTCTTGTGGCAAAGGAGAAATTCAACTGTCAACTGGACAAAGTTTATTTGGCTGAATACATTTCACAGCTCATCCAAGCTGCTTCTTCAGTTCATTCAAAACTGAAGAAGCAGATCCCTGGACAACTGAGGGATTTTTCACACATTTTGCGCTCTTTTGTTTTTAGTTTTTGTTTTTAAGATTCTGTCCCCAGTAGTGCCTTTAAAAACAAATCAAAGTCTTCTATACATTTCTTTTAAGTTTCAATCTAAAAGTGAATGTGGAGAGAGTCCTTGCCCACTTGAGCTAAGCAGTGACCACCCTCTTCACTTTGACAGACTAGACTTCGGCTCGTCTAATTTTCCATGTTCCCGTCTCCCCCTGGGCGTCTCACACTCGGAGCCAACAACATGTCCGCCGCCTGTCCATAAATAACCCCATCTACTCTCCCTCTCTCTCTCTCTTTCTCCCCATCTCCCTCCCTTACTCCATCTCTATTTTCTCTCTCCCTGTCTCCCTCTCTCTTTACCTCCATCTCTCACTTTCGGTCCGTCACTCTCCATCTTCCTCTCTCTCCTTCTCCTTTCTCTCCCTCTCTATACTTCAAACTCTCATCTGTCACCCCCCTCTCTCTTTTTATCTTCCCTCTCTATCTTCTCTCCCCTCTCCCTCTCTCAGTCTCTCCATCCCTCTCCCGCCCCTTCTCTCTATAACACATGTCCACACACGTACCGCCTTCGTTGTCCTTGCCGTCAGTGCAGAGCGTCTCCATGGCGACGTGACACCCGGCTCCTCGCCACCCGGACTGGCAGATGCAGTGCCACCCGCTAGCCTCCAGGGTGCAGCGTCCGTTGTTGTTGCACAGACCCGGGCAGCCCTCTGAAGTGAGGAGAAAGACAGAGAGGGTAGTTAGTGATGAGTTAGAGTCAGCAGAAGCAGAGCACGGGTAAGGAAGTTTGAGGCTCAGACAGGCTTTGACCATGAACGGTGTGAAGGCTGAGGTCAGAGGTACTGGAGATGTGACAAGATGGGTGCTGAATTTGAAAAAAAAAAATGCACCACAGCGCAGAATTAACTGAGATAGTCACGTGGTTCTCATCATTCTCCACCCACTTTTTTTTTTTTTCTTACTCTTAAAAACGACCCATGACATAGAATGAAATGTCAGGGTTACTGTCAGGCAGTTGCTTTTTCATGATACTTATTGTATTGATGGACAATACTAGTGATATATATTTTTATCTTATATCAAGAAATATTATGGCAAGTATACAGATACCAATGAGTTTTGCATTAAAATGCATTGAAACTCCTTGAGCAGCTCAGCAAAGAAATGTCCCACGTGATCAGGGGTTTTAACAATTTTATTTATTTATTTTTATTTATACTTAGTATTTAAACAGATGAATGGACCAATCCAATCCAAATGGTAATGTTTATTGTCCCAGCAGAGAAATTGTAGCCTGATTCATCAGCTGGTTTCACTTCGTAGAAACCATTTGACCTCGCAGCGTTAGAATTCGTTTGCTTGATGGGTAGTTTTTTCATTTAACATCTTTTCCCTTGATAAAATTCACTGAACATTCTCTTTGTTCCGGCTTTAAATCCTTGATCTCGGGAAATGTTGCCAACACAGAATGTATGGCTCTTCGCTGATTGGCTGGTGCCTGAACTTGCACTTCCGGGGTTTTTGCAAACCGTAACTGTACTTATAGCACAAGAATTTAATATTTTGTTCTTTGACATTCTACCATCTAAACAAATGCAGCCTTTGCAGTTTAATAATTGCATCAACTGAAATTGCAATCTTGATTCACTACCATGGAGTATAGGCTCTATTCACTGCTGCGTGTCATTTAACAGAGATCTTTTAACAGCACGATCACATTATCCCAATTCTTGCGTCATTGCACTGGCTTCCTGTTAATTTTAGAATTAATTTTAAGATTTTATTATTTGTTTTTAAAGCTTTGAATGGACTGGCCCCACAGTACATCTCGGACCTCATCCAGATTTACAACCTCGCACGTGCTCTGAGGTCCGAGGGCCAACTCCAGCTCGTGGTGCCTAAAACGAGACTTAAAACCAGGGGGGACGGGGCCTTCTCTGTGATCAACCCAAAACTCTGGAATGCTCTGACCCTCCACGTCTGAACAGCCCCCACAGTGGAGTGGTTTAAGTCTCATCTTAAGACCCACTTTTATTCTATGGCTTTTTAATACCACTAGAGTTGTTTGGTCCTCCGTGTCTTTTATTTATTTATTTTATTTATTTACTGTTTTATACATTTTTAGTACTGCTTTTATGTATTGATTTTAGTAATGATTGATTTTAGTTTCATTGATTTTATTATTATTATTTTATTTATTGATTCTATTAGTTTTGCTCATGGTTGGAACATAACTCTGTTGATGTTTTGCATTGCTATGTGAAGCACTTTTGAAACAGTCTTGTTTATAAATGTGCTGTAGGATTGGACTGGATTCACACTTACGTCACCAACCAAGAAGACGTTTGGAAACATGCGATGACATCCGGTGTGGGCTGTGATAAAACCCATTGAAGTAAATATCATCATCTTGAATTTGGCGTCCTCATCTCTGCTAATCGCATGTACTCAGTGCGCTCGGAATTGTGCGTCAGTGGGGAAATGATGAACCGAGGTATGGTTATAGTTGTTGATTTGCTGAACATAACAGAATGCTACAATGACATGGAGATGAAGAAAACTGGGCCATTTTCTAATTTTTCCTAGTTTTTTTCAAACTTATCGCAAACAGAGCCCGCTGGAAGTTGTCATTGCATGTTTCCAAACGTCTTCCTGGTGAATAGAGCTATTTGGACACAGACCTTACATTGAAACGTTATTTGGAATGTCTATATTTTTGCTTTAAATGTTGCACTGTCTCTGATATATATGTGAGTACCATCGGTGATTGTCCCCAGTCCATAGACAGCAGCCTTGTGGAGCCCGCAGTGGTCAAAGCCTGTACTTAGTGAGCGTTTTTAACCCTATATTTAATGCACCTCTCGCCAACAAATGGACTGACAGACTGAAAGACAGAGCCAGAGACAAATCAGAACAATCAATACCAAACAATACGGACGCAAAGACATTAAGACAGCTTTCAGTGGAATGCCAAAGATGTTGTAGTTTCACATGAACGCTAAGAATCCCTATAGGGCCCAAATGGCATCGTAAATAGATCTATGTCTCATTCTCTGTGGGGGAAGAAAAATGTTATTGATGATGGAAGACAAAAGCAAAGAAAGAAAGCGAAAAAGAAACAAAGATATTTATAATTTGAGGGCCTGTTTGAATCTCTTTGTCTAATCTCTGAGTCAATTTTGCTGAGAGAAGCAGGTTAAATAATCCATGTGAAAACACAACATGAAGACGGGAAGAAAAGCCAGCACACAAAGTATAGGGAGGACACAGGGAGGAATATTTGGTTTTGGACAAAAAAAAAGCATGCCTCCGAAATGCTATACTTTATGCGGCCGCCACATTCGAGACAAAATATGAGGCTGGCTGATTTGAAAACAAAAAAATAAAACTGAAAAAATAGATAGGAGTGTTTTTCTGAAAACCAAGCAAAGGGTATTTGGAGAGACAGAGAAGAGAAAAATTGTGAGACAGGGACAGCAGCTGACTTCATTGACACATACATATAAATAGACATGTTTATAGACAGGCTTCTAGATGCAAGACAAACAAAACATATTGGGTACTGCGTATTTGAGTGGACGAAGAGAAAAGTGAGTGCGTTTGAACTGTGCAGAGGAGAGAGTATATGTTACGAAAGGTAAAGCTGGGACACTGGAAAATATCAGATAAAAGCAATTTGACAACTTGAACAAAATGGAAATTGAAGTAAATGGAAGACTTGGAACTATCTCGCAATTGTAATTCGATAAATCATACCAGTTGACTTGTGGGATAAACTTCTTTGACTGTATGACAAAACTGATTCCATGGGCTGCAGTTTCATGTTTATGGCGATATTTAGAGGACTTTTCGGCATTCAAAAGAGGGAATATTTAGCTCATATTTAACTGTTACTACTTTTTAATCACTCCAAAACCCATGTGCTGGTAATGTTAAAAGATACATTACAATTAAACACTTCTTAACAGATCTCTTGTGGTAAAAGTTACTCTATTTGGTCATATTGGAAAGTTAAAAACCAGCCAAAGACAGGAGTTAGAGATAAATGGGTTTGTACATTGAGCAGCCACCCTATAACCCGAAGGTTGGTGGTTTGAGTGCAGCTTTAGCCATTACGTTATTGTGTCCTTAGGCATGACACTTCAGCTAACTCACCGAAATATGGCCGCCACATCTATCTCAATCCGCCCCAGGGCAACAACAGAAGTAAGGAGTGAATGATTAAAGGTGCAATGTGTAACTATTGTAGTGGATGGCCCGTCAACTGTTTGTCTCCATAGATGAGGCATGTCAAACTCAGGCCCAGGGACCAAATTTGGCTCGCAATATATTTATATTCGGCCCGCGAGATCACGTATTAGATAGAGATAAGTATTAGAGCTGGCCCGCCGGCTACAGATAGACTATGGAGACATTATTTATTAAAAATTTTGTTATTATTTTATATTATGCTTATCTGGATTCAATATTTATGCAAAACTATTATTAAAATGTATTTTAATATGAAAAGGTTTAACATTATATATCTCAAAAGAAGAGAAGACACACAGATATTGTTGAAATTTTTCAATAAATATTTAGTTTGGCCCACGGGTTAGTCATAGTTTTTAATTTTGGCCCTCTGTTAATTTGAGTTAAACACCCCTGCCATAGAAATATTACGGTTTTGCCTTGATTATTCCACAGTTTGTATTTAAACTAGGTAATCAAAATGGAGGCAATTGAATGGTCAGATCTATGGAGAAGCAAGCCTGTACATAGAATGTAAGAATCCATGTTTTGCTAGGGATTTTTGAGCTATAAAACACTTGCGATTGAATAACCGCAGTGTAGATGCTGTATGTTTAATGCTCTACTGTGGAACATTCCAGGCAAAAAAATAATATCGCCATGGAGACAAGCAAATAGCGAACCCTCCAACTTTTAAGTTACATAGCGCACCTTTAATGAATCTAAATGTGTAGAATTGTGTGTTCAACGTGCTATACAGAAGTTTTTCTACTATTCCTGCGTTTTTTATCATGATTAAAATATTACTTTTTTATGTCCTCCAAACTGTTTAGTACAACTTCACAAATTGTATTCTGCAACGGGCGACACAGCTGTCCGCCAGCAATGACTTTTTGTAACATATATCTTGATTTCCAATTGTGAAAGTGCATCGGTGCATTAATTTTATCATTTCGCTTTGTATCTGAAAGACAGGGACAGAATAATGTAACCAGAAATACAAATATAACTGAAACAAACAAGCTTGGACAAAGTCAGAAAGACAGTCGTCGTGGAAACAGAGAGAGAGAGAGAGAAAGAGGACAGGAAAAGTGGAATGGGTTGAGACAGGAGTGCAAAAAAGTGATTGGATTTGGGACAGCCTTGAATCAAGTCTTTGGTATTTGAATTACCTTTATATCCTGAGAATAGGAGAGGGCACGGGGGGAGAGAGGGAGGAAAATTAGGGATAAAAAACGTAAATTGAAAAAACTAAACAAAAACAGCACTGCCAAGTACACTACTGTATCTGAGATGTAATAAGGGCTTATGGTCAAAGACAAAAGGGTAGAGGAGGGAGAGGGACAGTAGGGGGCAACGCTGAGTCGGGACCACAACACTACGGCGTCATTCAAGAACAAGAGCAAGAACAGAACAACAATGTCGTGGTGTAGAATATTCATAGACAATTATAAATTTGCATTCAGTACAACGAAACACATGTGGGCGATGTTAAAGAAATGGGTTTTTTTGTGATTGTCAAAGCTCAAATTTGGCCCGTGATTGTTCAGAACGCAAGATGTGGTCTGGCACTTTGTAGCACAGCAGCATAGCAATTTTCATATTTGTTATAGAACGTGGTATTGCATATGTTAAAATTCCATAATAGTGCTTTATATTCGTGGACATTATAAAGCGCTTGAATAGAAGGTTTAGGTCTTACACTATGGTTGAGTAATGTTGTTTATTTATTCAGTGTCCCTTTTCAGAGATGATTTTATTTTAATATTTTGATCATTTCAGCGCTCAAACTTCCTTCACTGGTTAATGACCCATATTACACTATTTTCTGATCGATGTTATACTGTTGTTTCCTCATCACAAATATATCTGGAGTTGTTTTGTTTCATTCACACATGTTTGACGGATAAATCCCGCTTATTTAGGCTACGTTTATACGACGACGGTCTGAACAGAAGACGCAAAAGTGGCGTCGCGTCTTCACTTTTTATTCCATGTTTAGACGAGCGTTTTCGGGAGGAAATCTGCATGCATATGGTGACGCAAAAGTGTGTAGAATTCGATTGGGTATGCATGCCAGGCAGCTAGGTGGTGACGCTAGATGGTGATGTACGTGATGTAAACGCGGACGTGATGTGAGCAGATTTGACCAGAGTTTTGCGTCTTGGGCAGTGTAGACAGAAACGCTACGGCGAAATGTATTCAACTTTTCCACTCTGGAGGGTGGTTTCAGATTTTTGCGTTTTTAAGCAACCAAAAGCGCCATCACCGTCTAAATGAAAGGCACTTGCGATAAAATATTTTGTCGTTTTTACCCGCAAGCTTTCTCGTGTAAACAGGCCCTTAGACGGTGTTCTTTTCTCAAATGAAAACCACTCTGTTCCACCTTTGCTTCACTGTGTTTTTAAACGACATACACCTTCATTGGAATCATTTTAATAATTTCAGACCTGGAATTGCCCATTTCTATTGAGCTAGAGGTAAAAAGTTGCAGTTAACTTGAAAACTACCGCTTCATAACATCACAAGGTGGCACAGAGCAATTAAACTTTAGAGATGTAGATAACGGATTACTCAAACATGTGTGAATGAAAAAAAAAAAACACTACTCCAGGTATGTTTTTGATGAGGTAACAGCATTTTAACGTGGTTTAAATCTCACAAGAATCTATTTTGTGTTATATAGAATCTTTAAAAATCTTCAAAGGTAGCAGTAACTGTTTTTAGCCCTATTTTAACATATAAATACATGCATAAAGCCACATTTAAAGTTGCACTGTGAAACTTTTCTTATTGGGACTTTGCCATTTCCTTGTCTCCATGAAAATGTTATTGTTATTGCATTTGAATATTCCACAGTCTGGCCTTAAACTAATCTTACGTTTATTCTGTTGCAGGTTTTTTTATCGCTAACTTGAAAAACATGTCTTTCTTATTGTGAACCACTGATGTGTTTAATGCCATTCCGTGTAACATTCCAGATAAAGGAATGACATCTCCATGGAGACAAGCTGACAACCAGAAAAAGCAACATAGTACAAATTTAAAAAGCCATGTGAAAACTGCATTTTTACACTCAAAATCCTCTTATTCGAAATGACAGAAAGTATTTTTATCGCAGCGGTGACAAAATCTGTGGATATTGGGCACAACACGATGAAGTGCACTTTCAGGTGTGGATCTGACAGTGAGTCCGATTAGTCTGGAGTAAACCTGTTCTTACCTGAGCACGAGAACAGTGTACATGACAGAGGCAGCAGCCATTTCACACACAATGTTCATTCAAAAGACACTACAGTTTAATGTCTGCACTGAGCTATTGCAACAGTACAACTTTAGTTTCTAATGTTAAAGTAGTAAGTAATGCAGTTTTGTATTCACATTGTATTATTGACCTAATTAAGGGCTTAATGACTAATCCCACATTTTTTCAACTAGTAAGAGTATAAATGTGGAAATCGTCTGGTGGGGATTGAAATTGCTTTGCCTAGAATGTTGCACAGTACAGCATTAAGCAAATATATATTGATTTCAGTAATACAGATAATGCCATACTATGGAACATCCTAGACAAAGTAACAGTATCCAAAGAGACAAGCAGAGGCGTACCCTCACGTCACCAGAACAATTACACAGTGAATTGATTTGATGATTGATTGATTTGATGAATTATTTTGTTTTCATTTCAGTTTTTGCATGAATATAATACTTTATTAGCCCACATAATTATCTGTTTTGTTGTGGTAATTATACTTTGTATTTATGTAAAAAAAAAAAATATTCTATATGTTTACTACTTTCTACATTTGATATACATATGGAGGACATCAAATATATGTAAGTTAGTAAGAAGTATGTATGGAATTATGTAATAAAAAAAAAAAAACTTAAACTACTAAAGATGTCTTTGTTGCAAGATATTATCATAATTGTTCAACTTTTTGGCGGCCATGAAGGCTTGTCAAAGGCTGATCCCATCAGATCTCAGAAGCTATGGGCCTGGTTAGTACTTGGATGGGAGACCACTGGGAATTCCAGGAGCCACAGTGGGGCACCAGTGGCAAAAGCTGTTGTTGTGTCCTTAGGCAAGACACTTCACCCACATTGCCTAGTATGAAAGTGGTGTGTGCGTGAGTGATGGTGGTGATTGGAGGGACCGATGGCGCTTCCGTCAGTCTGCCCCAGGACAGCTGTGGCTACAATAGTAGTTTACCACCACTGCATGTCGAGTGAATGAACAATGAACTGTAAAGAGCTTTGGGTATCTTGAAAGGCGCTATATAAATGCAATGATTAAAATGTTTTCTTTTAAAAATAATTCCATACATCACTTATATACTGCTTCATATTTGATGTCTTCTGTATTTATATCAAATGCAGAAAGTAGTAAAAAAAACAAAAAATATTATCTAAACTTTTGACTCCTAGTGTTTACATGTATTTTTTCAATTATTATTTTTATTTTTTGAATCATTACAAAACTATCTGGCAAAAGTATTTATTGAAATAAAGTAGGTCAGGGTGTGGAATCTGGCGTAATTCATCGGCCGACACCCAAAGACCTCTGCTAACACTGTACGCAGCTCAGTGCTAAAACACATGCTAGTAGTACATGTGATTTGTGAGCATCGCGTGGCTTGACCTTTGACCTGCGCAACGATGCATTTAAAACAACTACAAAGTAGAGGGGAGGGAAATTTATGCTTTTAAGTGCTTGCACATCTGGCTACAATGTGTGCCCGGCCACTTCCTGAACGCTCCGCTTGGACGTAGTGATACTTTAACATGAGATACGTGCAAAACTATGGACACGAATGAGAGCTACATGTGAAAAATGGGTGCTTTTCATCTTAAAAGAATAGACTGGAACATGCATCTGCAGCTGATGGTTCCAACAAATGTTTCAAATATGATGAAATAAATTATACAGAATGTGAGAACACTGCAAAAAGTTTGATTGGAAAAGCTCGGGAGATGCCGTATATTGATTTAAGAAGCTTTGACTTTGACTGCCAATGGATGAAGATGTGTTTTCTTGCTATTCTAGCCAATTCCAGAGACACTCAATATATCACTTTTTTATGTGAAGCACCATACTGCAGCAAAATAGACCTACCGATGTGAGTTAAAATGACTTGAAATTATTATATTTTAAGTAATTTGAGTAGTTAAGGCAATTAAAATGTTGATTCTATTTAAATGTATTATGTATCATTATTAAATAGATCTGTTAAAGGTGCACAATGCAACTTTTTGGGGCTCCGTCACCAGCTTGTTTCTATGGATACGTCATTGCTCTGTCAGGGATGTTCCGCAGTATGACATTCAACAGCTCTATGTTACATTTATTCAACTACAGGTGGTTTTACTGCTCAAAAATACCAAGAAAAACAAGCATTCTTACCACAGATGTGACCTTTAACTTGGTCTGGTTTTGGTTTGGTTAATGCCATACGGTGAAATATTCCAGACAAAGCAATAACATCTCCATGGAGAAAAGCATTTGACGAATCCTCCTCCAAAAAAGTTATGCACTGCACCTTTAAAATCTAACTTAAATGTTTTGGTTAATTTTTTTTTTTTAAAAAGGTGGCATAATATATTCAAATAGGATCCATGATTCCAGAAAACTTTTAAGAATTTGTTTACCTATTTACCTTTTTTTTTGGATAATTTTGCTTGTACTTAAATCTACTGTCAATATCTTATAATCAAATGTTTTAGGTACAGTCTACTCAAGATATTATATAAGTAATTTCAACTCAAGTATTTTCAATTTTTGCACCGCAGTCTCCATTTCCATAGAGATTAAATGTGCGTTCACTTGGATAATTAAATTTATATGTAAATCTACTGTTTATATCTAGTAATCAAATATTTTAGGTACAGTCTACTCGAGATATTCAAGTAATTTCAACTCAAGTGATTTCATTTTTTGCAGTGCAGTTTCCATTTACATAAAGATTAAAGTGTGTGTTCACTTGGATAATTTAATTTACACGTACATCTACTGTCAATATCTTCTAATCAAATATTTTAGGTACAGTCTTCTTAAGATATTCAAGTAATTTCAACTCAAGTGTTTTCATTTTTTGCAGTGCAGTCTCCATTTCCATAGAGATTAAATGTGTGTTCACGGACAGGCAATGACTAATAAAACTACTGCACTCTGTCACACATGAAATCATAAAAACCACAACGAATCCTGCTGCAAAAATGTGGAAGATGATGCAAAAATAAACAGGAAAAAAACAGCACTTTTCTTTTTAAACAATGAACTAAAGACAAGCTTTTACTGTGAAGCCGCCATAAGCTTCATTGAACAAGAAGCAAAAAGCAAAATGGAAGATATGCGAGATGTGGACAGTCGAAAGTTTACCGTACCTTTGACTCGTATGTCCGGGTTGTGTGCTTAAGGAAACAAGGAAAGGAAGCAAGGAGGCAAGAAAGGACAGAGAGAAGGAAGGTAGAAAGACACAAAGAAAGTATTTAAGTACAGTATGGGAATTTGAATTGAGTGAACAGACAAAGATTATAATTTTGAGATATCAAGAAATAGCACATACCACAGATACCAACACCAATACACTGAAAATACTTCCAATATACTTTACAATATACACTTAAAATGATCACAGACAGAAAGGAAAGACTGATTTAAAAACAGTAATTCAAAAGAAATTTACATCTGACATTTTAACAACATCAAAAGATCAATATTTTGGTATCAATTTGCCAGTGATTATACAGCTTTGCCTGACAATCAATCATCTTTCAGACCTTTCATTTAAATACACATTCTGTTCAGCATCATATCAAATGGACTAAGCGTTCAGCTCCAGTCAAATGAAGCTCACAAGGTTAGCAATTATTGGGGCAAATTTGAAGCCAAGTTTCATATTAGGAATAGGAATTGATTTATGAACAAAACAGCGGAATGACAAAGGCGAAATTCAATGTGTCAACTGGACAAACGCTGACAGATTTAAGTTGAAAATGTTTCGTTTTTTGGATGAGCTGTGAAATGTTTTCAACCTAAATAAACGTTGGGCCAGTTGACAAATTAAATTCCGCCTTTTCGATGGATTCTACCCGGGCGACTGAGGGATTCTACACACAAAATAGAGAAATAAAAACACCAGGATTATGATGAGTCTAACACCCGCAGTTACAGAGAAAAGGGCAATGTTTTTTTCAATACAAAGTGAACTGAAGCCAGAGTCCATGGACCCGGAAGTGCCCCCATGCCCACTTCCTATTTGGAACATGGCTAGTGCATTACCTTTGTCCAATTATACACAATACGCAATCTATTTTCCACCAATGTCCACCACAGCAGCAAAACCATCCACCACCTCAGTCTCTCCATCTCATCTTCTTCACAACAGTTTCTACTCATGGGTTTCATCTTCTTGTTTGCAGGCGCCATTTTGAGAACTTTTCACCATCACCATGTTCTATTATGTATTTTAAATGTCTAGGATAAAAAGAGTTAAATTCCACTTTCATGACAGAGTGCATTTTGTGATTTTATGGTAACGGTTCAGCACCTGCTTGTCTCCATGGATATCTTATTGCTTTGCCTGCATGTTCCACAGTACGGCAGGCCAAGTTCAGGTTCAGGTCAGATCTGTGGAGAGGCGACCCCACTCAATAAGGTTGCCTGTTTTTCAAGGTACTTTTGAGCAATAAAAACAGCTTTAATTGGACAAATGCAAACATCTCCTTGGAGACAAACAGGAAAAGACACACAGCACATCTTTAAGCCTTCAACAAACGTCCCTGCTCGTGTCAATCCTGGTTGAAGCACAAGGAAAAACGCAATTACTATGATAGGAATAAATTGCCGAGGTCGGACATCGTTAATCAACATCGCTAACAAGGAAATTCAATTAGACATGAGCTGCTAAGTTACACAGGGAAATATGGGGCAGAATAAATCAGCGGTCACTGCATTGGCGCATGTAGAGATCATATTTTCTATTTTAATTAAGGCTAAACTCTGTCAGATTTGAAAGTCAAGGCCTTCTCAACAGGGTTCAGTACCACTTACATTAACATGCTACTCCACTGATAAAATACTACTATACTCATAAGATAGTGGGTATTCAAATAATTGCTGAATAAAGGACTCATTTCGATACCATTTTCAAAGACTGCTTGATAGAGAGTGCAATGACTTTAATTGCGACTTCATTTCCATATTCTGAGAGAGAAACAAATGTATAAAAATGATCCACATATAGTGAGTGGCAGCGGTTTTGCTATAGAATACTCGTAGCTCGTAGAATATTACACCGTACAGTGAACATTCATGATAAGCGTAGACATTATAACTCCATGGGTAATTTGTTTCATAATATTTTACTCCTCTTTCAGTCTTGTAAAATCAGCCTATATTGTGCATGTTCTGGGTTGGTGAACTTGAATGGAGTACATGATAACGCAATAATAAGCGAGTACCCACAAGATCTGGGAATCAAACCAGATGCCTTATAGTATGAAGGCAAGTGTGCCAATCCCTAATCCACCGTTGAGGTATTGCAGTAAGAAGACCACATGCATTGTTTGGATAATTCAAAATTGTAACCACAAATGTACATATATTTTAAAAGTTAATGCTTTGTTGTGTCCAAATCTTTCACATGCACCATGACAAAATTGGAACCAAATTTGGATTTAGGTTCAGGTTAAACAGGGGTACTATGCAAGATCAACTTTTTGGAGCTGATCTACCATGTTCTAACATTCCCTCATCAAAAACATGCCTGAAGAGGTTTTAGATGTCGTCTGTGCAGTAAGAGTAAGGTTACGTCAAAATAATATTACTCATGTAGAAGTACAAAGTTGTGGTGCAAGAAATGAATTACAAAAGTATTTGGGAAAAGTAACTTAAAGATGAACTGTTTTATTATAATATAAGTTATAATTTGTAGTTAATATTTGAAGGGGCAGTGCACGAAACAGACTTACTAGTGTTACTCACAGTAGGAAGAGTAATCAAAAGTTGTACTCAAGTACAGTACAAGCAGAAGTAAGAATACTATTACTTCAATAAAAATATTACTCAGGAAGGAGGAAAAGTTTTACTTCCTTGATTAAAGGTCCTATATTACACAAAATTGACTCTGGTGAGCATTAAACCATGTTAGAATATCAAAAACATACCTGGAATTGCGTTTTGTTTCATTCACACATGTTTGAGTAACCCATTATTATAGTCTATCTACATCGCCAAAGTTCAAAACCACCTTGTGATATCATCTTGTGGTAGTTTTCCAGTTAATTACTAAATTTGACCTTTAATTCAGTAGAGACATTAGACATTAGTGACGAGACAAGACAATTGCATGGCTGAAATCATCCAAATTATTCTAGTGAAAATGTGTGGAGTTAAAAAAATAAATTAATAAAAAAAAAAAAAAAACTTCCTGTATTACCACATGACATCACAAGGTGGAACAGAGTGTTTTCAGATTTAGAGAGGAACACAGCACATGTTTACATATGTGAATGAAACAAAACACAGCTCCAAGTATGTTTATGATGAAGAAACAACATTATAACATGGATCAGAAAATAGTGTAATACAGACCCTTTAAACACTCTGATACAAAGCATTAGAAAGCCCACTATAGTGACCATTGCTTTGGCCTTAGTACTGCGTACATAGTAGAAAGTCTGGGGCACTAAATGTTTTCCCCTGCTAAAAACTCAACTAGCCAACCGCACCACCCTCACCACATGGTCTGGATTAGCTAATGTGTATTATTGGAGC